GGAGCCTCGCCTCAGCAGCGCAACCTTATACTGTCAATAGATGCATTATATACATTAGATACCCATTATTCGCTACTTACTCTAAATGTGATAAAATCAGAATAATATTGCGTTTTGGTGTTTACATAGTTATTTTTGGTTACGGATGTTTTAATCATGTTACTTGTCTGGCGTTAATGAAGCGTTAATGTCAAGCCCTGGAGTCTATGTGCCGGGGCTCAGCCCCAGACGGCCCCCGGCCCAATTTAAACCCTGGTCTTATGTAGCATGCTGCTACAGTGTGCATGAATGGTCACATAACACGCGCTTTCGGTCTTGAAGTATGAACGGACATCTGCATATGATTGGAACTCTATCTACACAGCTCCCGCGCTACTCTCCATTGGAAATGAATGACTTATGGTCTGTCATTTGTCGGAGATAGTGGAAAGCCGGCTTGAAACGCAGTGGAACCGTCAGTATGACGAGGATCGTTTTCATTTTAAAACAAAAGCCCACCAGTGTAAATGTAGCCTTACAGCTACGGGGAATGGGACGCATTCACACTAAATACTCACGTGTGAGCCACATCTCTGAGTATCACAGTCGCGGACCGACTGTGCAGACCTATCGGTGTATTAGGCTATAGTAAGATACCACGATCAGACTGCTCCGTACGGTTTTGCATCGCTCTCGCGGATGTCAAACACTGATCGATCTGTGCCTCACTGACGTTGATGAGATTAACTCCTTAGGTATCGAAATTTGGTACCGAACGACGAGACGTTTTTCGATACTCGATGGTATCGAGGCAACTCGGTCGGTGCCTAAAAAGTATCGAACTCGATACCCAGCCCTACTCCTAACAGAGCTCTCAAAGGTGAGAGGTTTCAAAACCCCGCTAATTAATATCACCACCCACACCTCCACCTGCTCTCCTTCCCTCTGACAAACACACACAGCTCCATTTAACATTAATAACTTCTACTAATGACATGAGGGTGAGTAAACGATGACAGAATTTAATTTTTAGTGGACTATCTCTTTAATAAGAGTTGTATTTGGGCCTGAGTCTACAGCAAGGTAAGTGACTCAGCACTTCAGACACACTCAAACGGCCCTTTATCAACGCTGAGAGGCTTATGGTAGACCAGCATAGATCAGCAGCCTGGGGAGAACAAGCAAATCTACCGAAACAGCTACAGCTGTCGACATACAGCAGGAAATGTGAGGCTTTATGAGGCTGAGTTTACATTTATAAATGGATTTTATTTATCAGATATGTGACACAGTGTTTACAGGGGCTTGTTAAAGACTGTATCCTGTAGATTGTCAGTTATGATTGTATTATCTCTCTTAAGAGGACAGATACTGTCCCTGGATGCCTCAGAGGACATCTATTTACAATTAGATATTTGATATTCAGTGGATCAGTCTCTGAGTCACTCTCTCAGGACGCTCGTGAGTTTTCTCTCCAGTGACTCATTCAGTCTCTGTGGTTGGTGTTGAGAGGGTATCCCAGCATGACTCCTTCATAATGAAAGGACGAGTTTTATAAGGTTAAGGCACTTAATCTGGGTTATAAATTTTAATTTTTTTAGATCAGGACTAAATGATTTCACCATCCTTGCTGATGTAATCAAGGACTTGTCTCTTTTTTCATTTATGTCTTATGTTATTATAGTCTCTCTTATAAGGACAGGTCACACAAAAATATAAATTCTATGATCATTTCCAATTTTTTTTAAATAAGACGGATTTTCAATTAAATTAATACATTTATTAACCAAAGTAAAATGTATGAATTTATATATTTTAAAATAAATACCCGTTGACACGGTTAACCACCAGATCCTCCTGTCAACCCTATTGGCAAAGGGCATCTCAGGAACCGCACTCCAATGGTTTGAGTCTTACCTCTCAGATAGGTCCTTAAAGGTATCTTGGAGAGGTGAGGTGTTCAAGTCACAACATCTAACTACTGGGGTGCCTCAGGGCTCAGTTCTTGGACCACTTCTCTTCTCTGTCTGCATGGCATCACTAGGTTCTGTCATTCAGAAACATGGCTTTTCATATCCCTGCTATGCTGATGACACTCAACTCTACCTCTCTACCGACTATCCTGATGATCCGACGATAGCTGCTCACATCTCAGCTTGACTAACAGACATTTCTTGCTGGATAAAGGCCATCACCTTCAACTCAACCTTGCCAAGACAAAACTTCTTGTGGTTTCATCAAACCCATCGTTTCATCACAATTTCACCATCCAGTTAGGCTCATCAACCATAACTCCTTCAAAAACAGCCAGAAACCTTTGATTTATGATTGATGATCAGCTGACTTTCTCAGACCACATCGATAAAACTGCCCGGTCCTGCAGATTTGCTTTATTCAACATCAAGAAGATCAGGCCCTTTCTTTCGGAACATGCTTCTCAACTCCTTGTTCAAGCTCTTGTTCTGTCCAGGCTGGACTATTGCAATGCTCTCTTGGTAGGTCTTCCAGCCAATTCTAGCAAACCTTTACAATTAATCCAGAATGCGGCAGCAAGATTAATTTTTAATGAGCCAAAAAGAACCTCTGTTTATCAATTTGTACTGGCTACCAATAGCTGCTCGCATAAAATTCAAGGCATTAATGTTTGCCTACAAAACCACCACTGGCTCTGCACCCCTTCACCTAAATTCATTACTTCAGACATCTGTGCCCTCTAGAAGCTTGCATTCTGCAAGTGAACGTCGCTTTATTGTGCCATCCCAAAGA